ATATATATATATATGGTAGTATATACTGGTTAACATTTTATAGTATATCTCCTTTTAAATTTTGTTTGGATAAATTAATCTTTGTGTGTTTATATATGTAATTGATTTGGTATATTTACTTCTTTGATATCGCTTAGGTACTCCTCACAACACCCACCACTCCAAAAGACCGAATGAAGGTCATTGTTGATGCAGCAGAAGGATTTGTGTACCTTGTATGAATTTCTTTCGACCTTATTTATTAACTTCTGTTTTTGGGCTATACTTCTTACTCTTCATATAACTCCATTATCTGCTTATTTGTGTTCTATATTTTTTTCCAAACATTTTATTCATAGACTTGTGGATAATAAGTTAGCCATTCACCAACTGGTTACCTTCTTTAATATTACAAAGCAAATTTGATCCTGCTTTAAGCCGGTGAAATCAGAATAATTTTTAATTTTTCTTTTTATGTTGTTTACATACATTTGGCATATTCCAAAATCTCGGGAACTATTATTGTTTCCTCCTCTTCAAAGAAACCAGTGTCTAGTGCAAAAGGCCAATGGTTTTATTTATTCCTCTGTTTATTAACTTTCTCTTTGCACTTCAAGTAGACAAAACTGTTGTTTGTAGTTGGTACAGTTGTCTTTTGACCTTCTGTGTTTGAAGGTAGCTTTTTGAAGTATTTACTAGGCTGGATCGGGACATTCTTTTCAAAGTAGCCGATTGGAAATTGACACCAAACTTATTTTACGAAAGTTTGGTGTTATCTTGTGTTCATGCTTGTTTTTTGTAATTAATTTAGGCTCATATTACTGCATATTGACAATTCCAAACATTTGATTTTGATATATTTTGCGCCTAGAACTTGGTAAAGTCACCTTGATCCCAAAGTTTTGAAAACTGGATAGAAATATACTGTGATTGTGAAAACAGAAGATACCAGCATAATTACTTCAGTTCATCATCTGCTGGCAAATGTCATTAACCATTTGTTGATTTAATTTAGGTGAGTTCGGTGGGGGTGACAGGAGCCCGATCATCAGTCAGTGGTAATGTTCAGTCTCTTCTGCAGGAAATCAAAGAGGTTTGTCTTTTTAATCTTGTTCTCAACTCTATTTGATTATGATAAACACAATAGTCTACAATTCAACTTGGTCAATCTCAATATTTATACTTGTTTAATCCTTTGTTGTAATTGCAATTCAGGCAACAACTAAACCTGTGGCTGTTGGTTTTGGAATATCAAAGCCCGAGCATGTTAAACAGGTTATTTCTCAGTCCATATGTATGTTGTATGTTTCTACCTCTGGGAATTTGGTTAATAATGAATTATATACTTTGATACAGGTAGCAGGATGGGGAGCTGATGGTGTGATTGTTGGCAGTGCTATGGTGAAGGTGCTTGGAGAAGCCAAATCTCCTCAAGAGGGATTGAAAGAGCTGGATGCTTTTGCCCGCTCCTTAAAGGAGGCACTTCCTTAACAATAAGCTCTAAGAGCTCAAACTTGTAGTAGTTATGCTCATCTATATATATTCGATTTGAATAAGAATGTGGTTCAATTTTTTGTTCTGATCATGATGTAGTGTATGAGCAAATTTTGTTCCTTTTCAATTATGATGAGATTTCGTAGTTACTGAAATAAATGTCCATATAAGCTTCTATGTAGTGTATGAGCTTGGCATTTGAGCTCGTTCACATCACCAAAATTTATATTTCCTCATGATGTGCAAGCTTCTCCTTCAAATTCTTCTGTGTCAATTCCCTCCATATTTGGTTTTCCATGCTGAGACTCTTTACTCATTATATTGAATCAAGGAGAATTGATTTTACTAAATACACGTTTTTTTTTATTAATAATTGTTTTTATTTTATATATAAAAATAATAAAGTAGTGAAATTATCATGTAATGATATATGATAAAAATTATAAGTGTGTGTATTTTGTTTTGTTGAGGAGTTCAAAAGGGCTGTGTGTGGAGTTGTGTTAGCATTCTACTTTTGCTTCTTTTCCTTTCATAAAAAAAATCCTTTTCTAGTTTCAATTAGTTTTTAAATTTCTAGAATTAGGTTATAATTTAGTTTTTGGATAAAAATTTGAGTTTTCTAAAAAATAATTTAAAAAGTTGTTTTTAGTAGTGTTTTGATGTTGACAATATTTGTTCACTTTAGAAAAATAAAAATTGAAAATATTGCATGAATAAGGAAAGAAAAACATGAAAAAGTGAAGAGGTTTGACTAAGTCAAGAGGGAACAAACAAATAAATTGGACCTTATAGTTTTTTCTATATTTTTCTAGAAAGAAAAGGGCTTTGATAGTTCAAAAATATTTATGATAAAATATAATTTTTGAAAAGTATATTTTTAGGTATTTTATTTGATATTTTAAAATAATTATCTTATTTAACTATATGAGTACATATAAAAGAAATAATGTTTTGTCAAACCTTTTCAAATCTAGCAAAAATCTTCTTAAATATTTTTACATCTTCATGACAATCAAATATATCTTGAGGGTATTGGATTATTTAGAAGATAATTAGAAAATAAATTACAATACAAAAAAGCTTAAAAAAACCCAATTCAATTTCTATATAAAGAGACTGAGGAAAACATATCAAGGGAGCTTAGGAACTCTTTGGGAGACCTAATTTCATCCTCTCTCCCCTTTTTTGCATTCTCCACCCTCTTTTTAGATATGTTTATGTTATTTCTACATTCAATAGAATGCTAAGCATTTGAGGTTAATTTTGCTGTAATTGCTTAATGAATTTTGTGACTAGAATCCAATAATTGATTTGTTCTTTTGATTATTGTTGTGATTTATTTTTATGTATGTCTTTTGCTTTTTAGTTAAGTAAAAGTAATTACTTTTACATTGTAGCAAAGTTGGCATGGTGTGAAATCTACATAACATATCCATCATATGAGTTCAAGGATTTTTAATTTTAATTGAGAATCTATATTGATTAAATTTAGAAACTTTCATTTGATGAAATGAGATTTTGCCAATAATTGATAATGTACTTTGATTAAAGGTGAAAATTTTAACAAGAATTAATCAAGAATATGCTTTGGTTAATTAGCATTTTACTTGAAAAAGAGGTAAATGAATAAACATGATTAGACATAATAATATTTAATTGAGAGTGTACTTTGGTTAAATTTATTATGATTAATTTATAAAGTTCTCATTTTTAATTAAGAATGTACTTTGGTTAATACTGAGAATCTAAGACAATAATTAATTGAACAATAATTCTTTTATTACAAATGAGGAATATTATTTTCAAATAAGGAACGATATATTCATTTTGTTTATCTTTTTCTAATTTTATTTATTTCTTTCATTTATTATTTTATTAATTAATTTTTTTACTTATTTTGTTTATCTTTATCTTTTTATATTAATTTAATTTTATTTGATTAAATTTTTTTATAATTTTTAATAGAATTAATTTATTAAGAATCAATTTTGTGTTGGTTGAAAAATGACTTGTAATTGACTTTACCTTTTCTATTTTGACTTTCCTAGGAAAAGAATCACCAAATATGACACTATTGTAGTTTTTTTTTTTCACCACATGATAATATGTTAACAATTGTAGTGTTAATTATGATGAGGATTATCATAACTATTAACACCATTATTAATAGTAATGATAATAGGTGTGAATCCAAAGTTATCATAAAAGTTACAACTAATAAATGCAAATGCAAGTAGCACTAACAAATTTAAACTTCATAAATGTTCATAAATAAACATAATTAATGAAATACAATCACCTCATTCAATACTCATTAATAAATAAAAGGTTAAATCATTTTATTAGTATTTTATTTTAAAAATTTTGATACATGTCTTTTCTATTAGAGCGATACTAATATTGTTAAAGAGTTAAAGAATTTTCATGTGTTAGTTCGAGTTTTTCTTTTAAATATTTTTTAACTATTTTTACTTTTTATAACTGAAAAAAATAAAAAAAANAAAGGTCTTTGGTTCGTTAATTTACATATTTATCATTAAGAAAATGTCTCTTCACTCTCCTGTCCTGCCTACTCCTGGTTATAGCTTTTATGTCAGCTTCTTCGTTCAAATTGAAAATTTTGAAAAAATATCATGTTTGCATTTTGTCTCTTTTTCCTGTGGTATGGTAATGAGAATGATATTCTTTTCTTTGCCGTACGTATGCTATGCAGGGCTTGTGGTCCCGGATGTCCCTCTGGAGGAGACGGAGACTTTAAGAGTGGAGGCTAAGAAAAATGGAATTGAACTGGTTGGTTACTGTTAAATGATCTCTTGCATTTATTTTGGATTTCAGATTAATATTCTTATACCATTGATCCCAATGATTGAAAACTAGTGGTGAATCTTTTTTGTACTATAAATATGAAATCCAGTTGTTAGTCACACCAAAGGAGACATGGTGGTTATTGTGGAGATATGAACTTTTGTATTGATTAACGGCATTCCATTCTATTGTGTTATATATTTCGCAAATGTTATATATTATAATATATATTATAGATATATAGATTTATATCTAATATATATTATATAATAGATATGGTAGTATTATTACGGTAACCATTTTATTAGTATATCCTTAAATTTTGTTTGGATAAATTAATCTTTGTGTGTTTATATATGTTTAATTGATTTGGTTATATTACTTCTTGAATCGATTAGGTTTACTCCTCAACAACCACCCACACTCCAAAACGGACCGATGTGAAGGTTCATGTGATTGCAGCCGCAGAAGGATTTGTGTACCCACTTGTTTTGTTTGGTTGTGTTATTTGTTTGTTGATGTTTTTGTTATATTTTTTGTGTTGTTTTGTTGGTCTGACTGTTGGAATTTTTTGGTGTTTTTTGATTTTTTTTGTTTGATGTTTTTGTTTTTTTTGTTTTTTGTGTGGTTTGGGTTTTTTTGAATTGTTTTTGTTGTTTGTTTTTTTTTGGTTGATTTTGATTCCTTTCGCACTTATTTATTAATTCTGTTTTTGGTCTATTACTTTTCTTCATATAACTCCATTATCTGCTGATTGTGTTTCTATATTTTTTCAAACCTTTATTTTTCCGAGACTGGGGATAATGAAGTAGCCATTCCCCAAACTGGTTACCTTCTTAAATTACCCAAAAGCAAAATTGATCATGCTTTAAGCCGGTAGGTTGAAATCAGAATAATTTTTATTTTTTTTATGTTGTTTAAATACATTTGGCATATTCCAAAATCTCGAGGAAACTATTATTTGTTTTCCTCCTCTTAAAGAGAAACCGTGTCTTTCTAGTGCAAAAGGCCAATGGTTTATTTTATTCCTCTGTTTATGAACTTCTCTTGCCTTCAAGTTAGACAAAAATGGTGTTTGTTAGTTTGGGACAGTGGTAGTTCTTGGACCTTCTGTGTTTTGGAAGGTGGTAGCTTTTTGAGTATTTACTAGGCTGGATCGGGACTTCTTCAAAGTTAGCCGGATTGGAAACCCTTGACACCAACTATTTTACGAAAGTTTGGTGTTATCTGTGTTCTCAGCTGTTTTTTGTAATTAATTAGCTCATTTACTGCATATTGACAAATCCAAAAACATTTGATTTTGATTTTATATTTGCTCCTAGAACTTGGTGTTAAAGTTCAACCTGATTCCCAAAGTTTTGAAAATGGATAGAAAATATACGGTGAAATGTGGACAACAGAAGATACCAGATTAATTATTCAGTTTTCCTCATCTGCTGGCCAAAATGTCATTAACATTTGTTTGATTTAATTAGGTGAGTTCGGTGGGTGACAGGAGGCCCGATCATCAGTGCTCAGTGGTCATGTTCATCTAGATCTGACAGGAAATCAAAGAGTTTGTCTTTTTTACTCTGTTCTTCAAACTCTATTTGTTATGATAAACCACAATAGTCTGACCAATTTCCAACTAGTCAATCTAATATTGTTATACTTGTTTAATACTTGTTGAAATTGCAATGCATGCAACAAACTAAACCTGTGGCTTGTTGGTTTTGGAATTATCAAAGCCCCGATGCATTTTAAAACCAGTTATTTCTCAGTGCCATATGTCTGTTGTATGTTCTACCTCTGGGGAATTTGGTTAATAATGAATTATATACTTTGATACAGGTAGCAGGATGGGGAGCTGATGGTGTGATTGTTGGCAGTGCTATGGTGAAGGTGCTTGGAGAAGCCAAATCTCCTCAAGAGGGATTGAAAGAGCTGGATGCTTTTGCCCGCTCCTTAAAGGAGGCACTTCCTTAACAATAAGCTCTAAGAGCTCAAACTTGTAGTAGTTATGCTCATCTATATATATTCGATTTGAATAAGAATGTGGTTCAATTTTTTGTTCTGATCATGATGTAGTGTATGAGCAAATTTTGTTCCTTTTCAATTATGATGAGATTTCGTAGTTACTGAAATAAATGTCCATATAAGCTTCTATGTAGTGTATGAGCTTGGCATTTGAGCTCGTTCACATCACCAAAATTTATATTTCCTCATGATGTGCAAGCTTCTCCTTCAAATTCTTCTGTGTCAATTCCCTCCATATTTGGTTTTCCATGCTGAGACTCTTTACTCATTATATTGAATCAAGGAGAATTGATTTTACTAAATACA